CTCGAACGATCTATCGATATACATGCCGTGTGATGGTACATGGATGAGGTTTTGGCCCATGTCTCTGTAGGACACCATCACACAGCATTTCGGCTCACTCATCCGGACATGTTCTCCGACCTCATTAAGAGCTAACCCATAAACCCTTATCGATTTGTTCTTCATCCCAGGTAACATGAGTTTATTCCGGCCGATTGGCCTAGATCGTTAAACACAGTTCGGTATCAGCAAACCATCGTTTGTTTAGTATGGTCAACGAGGGACGACACTCTTACTGAGTTCTTGTTTCTCTATATCATTTCATTTTACAAGTACTCATACGGCTTTTAAAGGCCACATAAACGCAACATGTACAGTGTGCTTATATGCCAAACAAACACTCCACCCCCAATTTTCTTAGCTCGATGGATGTGAGCCAAGACTCTCTCTCTCTTGATGGCCTTTGCTAGGAGAATATTTAAAAATTTGTGGAATTTATGCTGGTTCAGTTTCATGAAAACATTGGCCTGTTTCACTTGTCATGTTCTTGAGAATTTTTAGCTACCATTCCTCATTTTGACGTTTTCTGTATCTGAGAATGCTTGTTTTCTTCTTGTTGAAGAATTCTAGGGGAAAGGCATGGTTTGGGTGATAACATACAGTGAGAGAAGAGGCGGAAATGGATCTTGGAATCACTTGTTTCATGAAGCTTTTCTTTGAGTTCTATGGAGCGGGTTTCACACTTGTTGAATATCCTGTTCAGTCCCTGCCAACCTACCGTCTAGAGAGAGGAGGGGTTTGGGTTGGAAGAAGAATTGAATTTCAATGGGTTCTATAGGCAATCTGTTTGTGATGAACCAGGCCGTGGGTTTCTGATAATCTTGAGTGATTTGTTAATATGGAAAATTTTGGAGAAATATTAACTCCGATTGCGATGAACATTGGTGAACCTGAACATGATTTTGAATTGTCTACTATATTTGACGTTTTATAATAATCATTATGATTCGCTCATCTTGTATCACATTATCTGGATTGTCAATTTTCAAGGTTTTCAAGTGTTTATATATTTTTTTCGATCTGTACCATTTTTAAAATATTTGCATTTCAAAAATAGATTGGAAATAGATTTTCTGGGTATCGTGGGGGTTTCAAGCACCAGAATTACCTCTTCTAGCATGGTTAACTTGTGTTTGTTTCACGAAGGTGATTGTCTTCTCGCAATTCCTTTTAATAATTGCTCAGTACGAGAAATTCTCCTAGGCACCTTTCTTTCAAACCTTAACACGACTCCATTGAATTATCAGGTGTGGCAGCAGGCTTTCCATATAAAAAATTCTTGAAAATTGGGATCTTTATGGTCTTGGCCTTTGGATTGATGGGTTTCAGAAACTTTAGAGGAAGAAGGGGAAATTTATGTACAGATCCAAAACAATTTTGAAAATTTAAAGTCTGAAGTTGAGATTTGGATCAAAAACAAATAAAAGGTCTCGAATATCGGCTAGATCTTAAAAATCCGAAGTTAGATTATGAGTAAAAAGAAGATCAAATGGTCGGAAGTGCGGAAAATTGGGGAAAGAATAAAGAACTTTGAAAAATATAATTGTAAAATCTAAACTTTTGGGAGATTTGGTAATTGGAGTGACATTTAGCGTAAATTTGTCAATTAAATTGGTTACAAAGATATTGGATCAGACAATAAAGGACAGATGCAAGTTATCTTTTTTATGTCGGAGAAAACTACAGGGATAAAGAGGAACAAGGATGTAAGTTATTTTTGGAAGAAATTTTCACTAGCGTTATGTGTACGGTTTTTTTTAATTCTCAAATTTTGATAAAGCCATTTTATAGCTTTGTATTTTGAAGATACGACATCAGTTCCCCATGTACAGTGAAATGAGAATTAGGACTTTTAATCCGAAATTACATTTTACTTATAGAATATAAGTACTTGATTTCAGATGTTCAAAATGTGAAGTCAAATATTTGGATTGTGAAATATCTTAAGTCACAAATAAACTTTGTTTATGAATGCTTAACTTTGAATCTTCAAATCAAATTTTAAAGTCACGCTTTGTTACTAAAATATGATGAGGTGGTAATTTAGGAGTTAAATAAAAAAAGACCGAAAAAACATGTAATATAAAAAATTTGGGAGAAATTTTTTTTAATACAACTAATTTCTCTTAAATGGGAGGATACTATCGTAAATTTCTCTTAAATCAAACTTTTGGGAAATTCCAAAATCCACGGAGATATTAAAGCAAGTCTTTTAATTGAATTTACACAATAGCTATGCAATGGTTATGAGCGAAAATGAATAGTATTTTTATCCATAGGCTTGGTACTGTCCGATTATTTTAGACGGCATGCAAAAATCGACTGCACTGGACATACTATGTCTGTTGCAATACTGCAACAGACATAATATGTCCGGTACAGTCAATTTTTCACAAAAAATTCACGGGAAACTGCAATTGCTCTACGAGAGCTGTTGTGGGGTGAAATCATTGTTCGCTTTCTACCCATGGAACATTTTAAGGGTTTTTCAAAATATAAAGAGGAAAAAGATATAAGTATTTTTTAAAAAATATAAAAATTTACAAAAACACCATTAACTTTTTTATACAAAGAAGTCATAATCCTCTTGTCAATCACATTTCAAATCTTGTTGGTATCGTAGACTCAAATTCAAATGAAACGACACACCCCAAGCCATTCAAATTTGGATGTGGTTAGCATGCGGCCAAGCTCACACATGTAGAAATGTAGCCTTGGCAATAAATATATTTTTTAAAATAATTTGATCTTAATTTTTAGAGAATATATAACCTTTAATATGGAGATCAAGAATATGAATAAATAATAATTATATTAAAAAACTATTTAGATGGTTAGTTACAATTGTTTTTTTATTGACCACCTATTTATTTGCTTCATCTTTAAAGTGGGTGCTTTATACTTCTGGACCACATATTGTACAAATATCGTGAGTTCCCATGAAATAATTGTTTTTCAAATTTAACATTTAATTACTAGAAATAATTATAACCTCTTTGTAATAATTAATAATAATAAATAGCTTTATTGTATATAATAGTTTTTTAATAAACAAAAAAATAGTAATTTTTTATATCAAATAAAAAAATATATATATAACAAGACTATTTCCCTTTATATAAGATGATCACAATTAATCTTGACCAATAGGTGAAATCGAACGACAGCATTTATTTCATTGACTAAAAGTAAAATTCAATTTTTGTTTTTCAAACATCGTAACGTACCTGAACTATCATATTTCAAGACATTGTGACATCCTTCTTCCCTCTTTGTACCGAGCGTTAATGGTCACATTGTATACAATCACCGAATAAAAAACTTTGCCGTTGTGGGAAACTTATACGAAGCTTTGAATATTTTGGACCGTTCTCTGCCCCTCTCTCTCTCTCTCTCTCTCTCTACAGAGCTCACTGTTTTGTTCCCCTAGAGAGACTCCGATCCCCAACCACTTCTCTCTTCTTATCTCTCTTCCTGGTGTTCCCCAGTCAAAGCAGAACCACCAAGCCACGAATCGCCTCATCTCTTCCCCAAATCAACCACAAAAGGGGAAGAAAAACAGCAGCAATACATCAAAAACACCCCACAAATCGCAAGTCCATAACCCCATATCTCTTCTTCTCCACTCTCTCTCTCTCTAAAGGATCTACTGTAAGGAATATACTCTTCCTCTCTCTCTGTTTCAGCACCACCACCACCCTCCAATCGCAATATGCCACCACCAATGGCCACTTTATCCCCCATCTCTTCTATATCTCTATCCAATTCCTCTCTCTTCCTTCGCCTTCCCTCCTCTCGTTCTTCTCTCTCTAAACCCACCTATTCACCCATGTCCATTAAAGCTCTCTCCGCACCTGTTCTCACTCAAGACCAGCTCAAGAAGCTTGCTGCCGATAAAGCAGTCGATTATGTGAAGAGCGGAATGGTTTTAGGCCTTGGAACTGGGTCGACTGCTGCATTTGTGGTGTCAAAGCTTGGTGAGCTCTTGAAAGAAGGGGTACTCAAAGATATAATAGGGATACCGACCTCGAAGCGCACAGAAGAGCAAGCTGCTTCATTGGGTATTCCTCTCTCTCTCCTCGATCACCACCCCAAAATTGATTTAGCCATTGATGGGGCCGATGAGGTTGATCCCGAGCTCAATTTGGTGAAAGGGAGAGGTGGGGCTCTCTTGAGAGAGAAACTGGTCGAAGCTGCGTCGGCCCAATTCGTTGTTGTGGCTGATGAGTCCAAATTGGTTGATGGGTTGGGTGGAAGTGGGCTCGCCATGCCTGTAGGAGTGGTGCAATTTTGCTGGAGCTACAATGCTAAGAGGTTGCAGGATCTTTTCAAGGAGGAGGGGTGTGAGGTTAAGCTTAGGATGGATGGCGATAAGCCATATGTTACGGATAATTCAAATTATATTGTGGATTTGTATTTTGAGACGCCCATTAAGGATTCGAGAGCAGCCGGTGCTGAGATTTCGAGGTTTGAGGGCGTGGTGGAGCATGGGTTGTTCTTGGATATGGCGACCGCTGTGATAATTGCTGGTTCAGATGGTGTTTCAGTCAAGACCAAATGATATGCAGTGCAACTGCGCTATTTTCGTCAATAACTCTCTCTCTCTCTCTCTCTGTACAAGTTTTTCTCTTGTACAAGAGGGTGTTTTGCTGATGTAATGTCTTTTTTTATTTATATTGAGAATCTTAGCGAGAGGAAAAGGCATGCCTGTAGAAGAATATAAGCTATTTTCTGTTAATGCTTTTGGTGTATTTGAAAAACAAAAAGGAAATTTTGGGTATTGAATTGTATCCTCCATTGTTGTGAAATACTAGCGGAGGGCCTTTCAGACCGATTCTAGTACCTGGGAATGGATAATTCTGTTGCAGACTTTTGTTTATTAGCTTAGGTCATTCTTGATATAAACCGTTTCTGATCTCGTGTTTTTCCTTGCTTGTTTATCTTCTTTGATTGTTGTGACTAGTGAGCAATTTCTTGCAGTGCTGGTGTCATTTTATCAATAATTGAATTGTCGCTTACATTAAAAAAAAAAAGAGTTTTTTTATTTTATTTGAAAAGGTTAACAGTCCTAAAAAATATTGTATCTTAAAATATATGAATTGTTACTTTCTGTGTTGAAGAAACATGCAGATTGTTGTTTGAGATATTTGAGGTTGTCTTGTTGTGGCCTGAAATAAAGATTGGTTGCAACTTAGACAAAGGCTTCAACACTGATTTCCTTTCAAAGCATAAAAGTACAAAAGAAGTAACATCCGAATCAAATAAAGGGGAAATGATATGAAATATCTACATACTATTTTAAATTGTGAACACTCTGCATCTGAAAGTCATTCTTTTTGCCATGCATGGTAGATCAGTAGTAAGCAGTTTGACTTAAAAAAATATATTCAAACATAAATGCTCCTTCTGCAGTCTCTATTAGAAGACAAGACAAGTTAAGCTACTATATACCAATCCATTTCAAGTGGAAACGAGTGGAGTGGATGATACATAGTGCCATTAGTGGAACTAGAATCAAAAGACACATGTTCTGTATTATCCTCCCTTCATGAAAAACGTGTAGTTGGGAATTTAACGAATTAAAAGCATATTCTTGGGATAAAAGATACTTATGAAAGCTCAATGGTATTTTCTTGTTAATTTTTCTCCTTAATGAGCAAATTTGCTTCCTCCATTTGGTGGTAGATTCCTCTATCACACCTTGTTATTGGATAGGTATATGTCTCCATTATCAGCCTTTGGTGATGAAGTATTACTGTGAGAAATTGATGTAGCTCTCATATGCCATCTCAAAGTGATCTCACTAAAGATGCCTCCAGCAAACTCAACCTGCTTTTTCTCTTTCACAAAAATGAATCACCATGAGGAGGCATGGCAAGGAAGAAAGCTGCCACTCAATCTATTTTTTAGTGTCTTGCGAAAAAAAACTCTGCATAACTCTGCCTTACCTCCTGTTTTTTTTTTTATAATCTTTGTCAATTCTCATCTCTCTAAACAATGCAAAGAAATATTACTTTGCATTACTCTGCCTTACCTCATGTTTTTTTGACAATGTTTGTCAACTCTCATCTCTCTATGCAATGCATGATCTATTAGATGTCTTTCCCACGTTGATGTAACCATAAAACTACAGCATGCCATTCGTTGCTTTTGGGGTTCACCCAGTTTGAAATTAATCCGAATTTTTTTAGTCATTTCAATTTATGTAATTATTTCAAATGAATAATTTCTTCATAAAAATTCAAAATACCATTGATGAGAGAATTTGGTGGTAGCTAGGCTTAATTCAAGAGGCTGGGAGCTTGGGCATAGAGGTTAAGCAGTTGATGAGTTAACCAATCGGGAAGATAGGAAATGGGAGGATATGACTGGTTGTGCTCGGGAATGTTGCTAGGAAGAGGGTGCATGTTCAGAGCTAGAAGGTTTTGTTCTGAATTTCTGGTCTCCATAGCTTAGGAGGTATATGGGATTGGATGAATTAAAAACAGGGAGACTGACTAGAGAGGATATGACATGCTATATTCAATAATTATACTAGGAAGAGTAGGAACACTCAAAAGCGGAAGCGGGTCCATGTTCCCTTTAATAGCTGTTGGACGATTAGTCAAAAATTTTAAAAGTTCGATTATTAAGGCAGTTCTCTATGATGCTACCCATTTTCTGGTTTTCTGGAGCGACATTTTTTACTTGGGTAGCATAGATATTAGGGGTGTGCAAGTTGATAAGGATGATTGGGAGCTTGATATTATGAATCAGGTCACTCTGATATTCCTTGTAATTTGATAAATTGTTCCTTTGGTTTATGAATTCTGCCTAATAGTATGATGAACTGTAATTAGATTGTTAGATGCAAAGTTCCTGGTGACTGGTGATTGGTTGTTTGGGAAAATAATTTAGGGACTACATGAATGGCCTGCTGTCCTGTGGTTTTAACTGCAATATAGGAGCCCCAACCATAAAAATGCACAGAATTTTGGATAGCCCCTAAGCTATAAAAATGGCCAGCAAAATATCTCGACTTTGAATGAGGTTAGACTTTTTTTTATTGGGATGTGTTAGGTGAAACTTAACCTCAGACTGAATGCAATCTGGGATCCACATATTGTTGATTGATTTGTGCACCTTCCACCCTAACTTTGTTGGCCAACCATGCCAACAGGTTGTGATGATGGACAGGTACAATTGTCCACCAGTAAATTTTAACATGTTGTTATTCTTTTCATTCGTTTGACCTGTGCACTACGAATTTTTGTCTTCTCATTGCTGGATTTCTTGCTCATGGGTACCAAATTATGATGGCTGATTTCTTGCTATGAGCATTAGATTCCTCTAGTAATGTTTTCACATTGTAGAATATGAAGATGTGCAAACAAATTACTGGAATTTTGAGGATATCAAAGCGATTGAAGTTGATGGAAGAGCGATGTCCATTGAAGGAAGAGTCTTCTTTACAGCAGGTTATTATGGAGAAGGAATATGGATCAGATGAGGAAATAGAGAGAGAGGAGTAAAAAAAGAATAGGCTGGAAGCTTCGCAAAATCAGATAGAAAGCGAGGATGAAACATGCTAATCTTATAAAGCATCTTTTTTTTTTTGGTGAGTCAGTGGAGAGAGGGCCTCAACCCTTGGTAGGAATTGATCTTAGGACGTAGCATTGCACATCGTGAAGCGCTATCCAATTAAGCCCAGGGTCTTTTCCTATCTTATAAAGCATCTGCTAATGGAAAAGTGCAAGGCTGAAGAAGAGAGAAAACATGCTGACTTAGGAAAGGGCTCCACTGGCCAGTACCTAAGAGAAGCCGTACAAAAGATAGTGTAACAGTATCAGAGAGAAAATGCTGTCGATGCACATAAAAGAGTTTTGTTTTCCTTGTTTCTTTGTTTCCTCATCTCGTTCTTCTCATAGATCAATTTGTTCTTGGGTTGATATGTCAAAATTAATTACAACACCGTTTGGTACAATTCCTTTACATTCTTTTCATTTGGGATAAATCCGTTTATTGTATGTTCCCACCCACTGAAATTTTATTTTGTATTTATGAATTATTTCAGATGTATGTTAATATTAATTTGTACGTTGAAAGGTACATAATTGTTCCATATATGAGAAAAAGCATTTTCTTTGCTAACTTTTGCATTGGCTATTCAATATTTTAGTTTGTCTGAGACATGCAGATCAGGAAGACTATAGTATAAATGACCACGGAACTAGCCATTTTTGCAAGAGAATTGGTGAAATTGTGAACATAGCTGAATTTTAAAACCATTCTTGATCTTGGGATTTTGAAACATTGTAACATTTATGGATGCTGTGGAAAATTAGGGCATAAAATCATCGTATACCAATGCGAGAGAGAATTCACGATGAAGTCAGGCTCGCGCCAATTGGATATGTGATATATAGGATCGTCTTCTCCCTAATAGACGATCGTTGTAGAGATAAAAATGAGACATACATGGATATATGCATTTGGGTTTGAAACAATGATACTAGCAAATCCTCAACTATCTGACATCGACCAGTGATAGTTGAGGATTGTTGTTCCTCTGCTCAAATTCCCATTCTACACTCCTCAACCATCCATTTATGACAGTAGGTAGCTAAGGAGAACCTAAGGATACTATTATTGACCCAAACAGTAGCATGATGTATAAATGGGAAAAATTGACCTTACTTCTTTCATTCATTCATGAGACCAATTTCATTACCCTCTGATTCAGTAACAAGATTGGAACATTTAGCATAATATAACGTAACATTTTACAATGATTTGAAAAGGAAAGGTATTTTGTGGGGCTGAACCCATGTCTCTCTCATATTTTTCTTTCTTTTTCTTTTTTTGATTAGGAGTGAATGGAATTAAACCCATGGTTCTCTCATCTTTTGTATCTGCAGTTCTCTTTTCTTATGTTCTACTTGCATCTTTGCAAATATGGATCTCTCTTTCTCTGGTCTTTCTGTTTGCATTTTTGGCCATAAGACCCTGGTCTTGTCACCTTGGGATCAAATGACTCTTGCCAAGAATCCCTAGTAATTGTCAGTCAGCCATATGGTGGTAAATTCGTTCCTGGGACTTGTTCAATTGCTAAGTCTCATCTGCAAAGTCTGGATCATAAACAGTCGTATGATAAATGGATACCCAAAGTCTTTAAAGCATGCACAAAAAACTCAGATGGTAGGCAATTGCATATCTTGAAACACCTGTGTATGTGTGCATGTGAGCACGTGTTGGAAGATTCAATTATATGCTCTCTCACATAGGAGTAATATTTAGAAATGCAATATAAAAATTGAACAGGTGGGTTGAAGCGGTCACCCAATGGTTCGTAATTGAATCAACTAAGTGGGTGACTCGGTCGAATTAAAAAAGAAAATGTGAACAAATTGTAAAGGGTGTGATTCGTATAAGATGACCTCAAAAATCAAAGTAAGGTGTCAAGGTGCACCTCCAAAGCTTCTCGAAAGATGTAATTTTGGTGTCGGAAATTTCAATAATAACTTAAAAATTGACTTCATATCTGATTATGAAATTTGAAACTAAAAAATGGTATGCATCGAGCAAATCTACAAACATCGGAAAATCTTGAGAGTGGACGGTCTAGATAATTTTTAGGACTTGAATTTTTTTTTTTCCGTTCCAAATCTGCAAATCTCTAGGTTGAGATGATCAATTAGAAGCATCAAAACAACATTTTCTGATGGATTTTTGAGGCATGTCTTATTTCTACTGTATAAGGCTGACACCTTATATAAACCTATTCCAAATTTGAAAGTTAAAAAGGTCTAAACAAGGTTTGGAAACTTTAAATCATTCTAAAAATGATATTTCACAATTAAAAACCTTTTTAAATAAGATTTATGGTTATATTGGACCGAGTACCGATTTGGGGAGAAAATTGGACCAGATACGTGCCGGTTGTTGTTTGACATTGACTCGGCCAATTCTGAGCCAAACTGAAGATTTTTTAAACACCGGCAAGGAACATGTCACTTATTCACTCCTCAGGTAAAACTCTGCTTAGG